GGGGTAGAGAGTTTTTATAAATATTGTTGTAAGATAAATATTTATTATGCAGCCCTATAATATGTGGGAAGTAATGGTGTTGATTAATAATCTACTGGCCCAAATTTTGTGCAAGAAAGCAAAGATGTTCACTCACAGTCCTGGTCTGAGCCCCGGTAGGTGGAGTGTACTTTCTCATTTCAGACTTTGGGTTTGACTTGCTTGTTTTGACCAATGGTATTGCTAGTGGACCTGACATGAGCATAAGTTTGGAATGTACTTGAAAAATAGGCTTGTCCTTTATGTCTTTGGCCACATGTAAGTCCTTGGATCTTATAATACTAACTATCCATTTGTCATCATTATGATATTTAGATATTGATGAATAGAGAAAAGTGTAAGGATGTGTTGTATTTCTCTTTTCTTCTAGGAGCTGTACTGCAGAGAAGGGAACATCTTCAGGAAAGAAAATCCCAAATAATAAGTGAAGGAGGTGTGACAGAGCCAGAAAACAAAGTTGAGGATCACTTGAAATCTCTCTCTTATAAAGAGATCTAGAGGGCTGGGGAACAGCTGGAAGAAAGAAATATTGCATTAGCCTAGAATAACCGTGGCGCTGGATGATGAGGAAGTGCTCTGAAAACCCATACCCAGAAGTCCAAATATTAGTAGGAATTAATGTTGTAGTGTGATTTTGGATTCATTCAAGGAGTGTGGTAGACAAATAATACACCAAATGATAATGTCAGTAAGAACCAAGGATAAGAGAGAAAATATAATCACCATTAAAAATCAAAGAAGTGGAGATCTCATACTTCTAAATTTTACTTGTAAATATTAATATAAATTCACTAACATGATTTTCTGTTTTCAAAAGCAGCCATGCATTTCCTAGTTCTGTTATCTTTAAGCAAAGCATGTGTGATAAGCATCCTCACCTGCTAGGTAGTCACGAGTTTCTTCAAGAGGACCCCATGCAGGAAGTAGTGTCTATAGTTCACCCCACATGGTAAGATGCATGCTCAACATTATCAGTTGACTTGCTTGCTTAAAGGTACCAACAAACAGCTCTAGGGGCTGTGTGCTTATTTTTAAAAAGGTTCTTATATTTTTATTGTGTTTCTATCTTAGTTACTGTTCTCTGCTGTGAAGGGACACTATGACCAAGGCAATTTAAAAGAAATCATTTAATTTGGGGTTTAATATCAAAGAGTTAGTCCATATTGGATCAATAGCTGAGAGCAAACAATTGATCTGTAAGATGGAGGCAGAGAGAGAGAGAGAGAGAGAGAGAGAGAGAGAGAGAGAG